ATTTAAGAACTATTGCCACAAACGCATGGAAATTGATGTTGTCGACTCGTCAAATAATTGAATTAAAATATCATTATTTTGTTTTATTTAGGCCATTCCAATATTTTGTATTTGTGTAGCATCCACCCCAAATTTGAAAAGCTATCTTTCTAAGCTGAATAGACACACAAACCCACAGGGAAAAGGCACATTTTATGTCCAGTTGTAAAATTTCTCAGTCATTTGAGAAATTTTCTGTCATTGTTATTAACTGATTAACTTAAACTATTATTTAGTTAATGGACATGTTGAAAAAAAAATGGTATAACTGCACTCCACCATTCTAGAAAAGAGAGATGCTGATCCGAAAAGAGAACAACCTGTTTTAAAGTTTTACATTTGTGACATTTCAACATTAATGTGTGTTTTTCTTTAATTTCACAAATATTTAACTAAAACAATTTGTTTGTGGATGCTTAACATAGATAAAAAGTTGGCCTTAAGACTTACATGCTTAAATTGAAGCAACTAATGATAAGACCTGCTTAATAAGAGAGTAGACAAATAAATCTTGAAGCATTGCATTGTAATGCTTAGTGCTATAAATCATTGCATTAATAGTTGGCATTCTCAACTGCTTATGCCTTAGGTGTTGGAACCAGAAGGGCTAGAGGGCTAAGCTTGAAAATTGGGGTAAAACTTTTTATGCCCCCCTTCAAAGAAGGGAGGGCATATTGCTTTGCTGTTGTTCGTCGGTCGGTCTGTTGGTCCATTTAGTTTCCGTTCATTTTCTTCACAACCGTTGCACATACTGAAATGAAATTTGTTATACAGGTTTATCAAGTAAATATACAGGTCAAGTTTTGTTTTGGGTATGATCGCACCATTTTTGTAAGAGTTATGCCCCTTGGACTTAGAAAAATTCCACTTATTTGCAGTTTCCGTTCATTTTCTTTGCAGAGGTGGCACATATTAAAATGAAATTTAGTATACAGATTTATGAGCTGAATATGTAGGTAAAGTTCTCTTTTGGGTACGATCGCACCATTTTTATAAGAGTGATGCCCCTTGGACTTAGAAAATTTCCACTTATTTGCAGTTTCCGTTCATTTTCTTTGCAGAGGTTGCACATATTGAAATGAAATTTAGCATACAGGTATATTAGATAAATATCTAGGCCAAGTTCTGTTTTGAATATGATCGCATCCTTTTTGTTAGAGTTATGCCCCTTGGACGTAGAAATTCGCCTCGGTCAATATGAATATTTTTCTGGTGAATAACAAACCATATTCAACACTAAAAGAGTCCATAATTGTTTTATTATATAGTCGGGATTTGTATAGATAAGACATTCAAGGCTGTATGACGACACCATTTTCATTTGCGATCTTCCATTGTTGAAAATAAAAAAAATCTCCAGATTACTGTTTGTAACCTCTGTGTTTTCCTTTCTGACTTTGGCTATGTGTAAGACGTTCAGATGTTAAAAAATAATCCTGAAAAAGGTTTGAATAATCGTTTTCCTGCACAGATACGTAGCTCGCTGCGGCCGTTGCATCCATTGTTTACAACGTTGTTTGATATTTTGATTGTGACGTCACAATGCTGTTGCATGCGAATTGACCCTCCGGTGAATACGGCCTAAAATCCAGTGAATATGTAGTGTTATGAACTGTTTGCGTTTGTATAGATTATATAGGGACTATAGATAGACTATATAATAATATGTTATAGGGTTTGTGTCTGTCTGTTAGCTTTTCTCATATCGGCTCATAACTTTAATACTATAAGGTCTAGAGTTATCAAACTTTGTCAGCTTATACATATTGGGTAGAAGGTGTGTTGCGCACAAGAAGTAGGTCGCTCTGACCTATAATTAAAAAATTATAGCCAAATATGGAAAAACCCTGTCTGGTCCATAACTAGAAAACTAGTAGACTTAGAATCATTAAACTTGGTCATTTCAAGGTAGAAGGTGTGTCGTGACCTATTTCATTTTCACTGTGACCTTTAATTTAAGTGAAATTTTTTTTTTTTTAAAATGTCTTTTTCTATTCATTTACACATTCAAAAAATCTAAAACTTTTGCACTATCCTTATTAGAAAAATGTTAAATCAAGAAAATACTTTTTTTTTTAGCATATACTTGACAGCAATCTATAACAAATATTATGTATGTTAAGAGAAATTCCACCACTCGCATGAGTGTACGTAATTTTCAAGCACTGGTGAAGAAGAATTTCGATAACAGAAAATTGCATGTCAAATTAGAGAGAGAAATTAATGAGTTTTTTTTAGTGAGGAGTAGCTGTAAAAGCATCGTCAAATTAGAGAGAGAAATTAATGAGTTTAGTGTGAGGAGTAGCTGCCTGTAACAGCATCGGTGCTATCTATATTCCTTGAGTATTGGGCCAAATGGGTAAGCCTGTTGGATTAAAAATAACTTGTTGGCTAGCCCAAGTTTTAAAATGAATTTTATGACAAGTAATGAAAACTAATTTGATATTGCCTATTAAACTATTTTGATATTACCAGTATTATGAACTTAAAAACTAATTTTATGGGGGTGGGGGTGAAATCAGCATGTCCATATGAATTTCATATTGAAAACTGTGTGACATTATATCTAAAAAAAAATCATTGATGTTTTATAAGTTTTGAAAATGTTTTATGGTAGATAGTGGAGATCCAACAATCTTTTGGGAGTAATGAGTAGAAAAGCATCCAGTTAAAGATTAATTAATGTGTTCAATGTAGGAAGGCTAGCTGCATGGCTCTTTCATTTCTTCATAGAATGGTCTTATCTGTATCCTTTGGGAGTTAGGCAGAAGAACTGTTGGTCAGTTTATATTTGATAACCAGTCTTTTATTTTCAAAATTAATTAGGTATAAATTAAGTTGTGAAGACTAATTTGATAGTGTTTGATATGATAGGCATTTGGCAAGGTCTAACACAACAGGGTTTAAACTTAACGCTCGCCCACTCGCAAATTGCGAGTAAAAATTGGTGTGGGCTCATAAAATTTGTAAGTTGCTCGCCCACGTGGCGAATAAAAATTCTGCAGGGGGCCGAATTCATTCCCAGTCACCTTACTGAAAATCTGCTGAAAAACAGATATTTCATGCAGGTTTTTGATTTAAAACTACAGAAAAATGAAATAAATCACAGCAGTATGGTCCTATTGTTCGTAAATATCCTTCATCTTTTCCATTTAAAGTACTACAGGATTTGTGAAATTCCCTAAAACGATCGTCTTTTTTCCTAATCCGAATTTCCTCCAACCCTCTGTAAATGGTTGATACGTGAGAGATATACAATTTTACTAACTCCCAACTACTCAGTCATATGAATAGTAAGTGTTTTCACCTATTTAGATATGTTGTATTTAAAATATTTAACCTATAAAATCTTATTGTGTCATTGTCAGTTTATCAGTTGAAGACATGTACCACAGCTACGTATTTATATACATGTATTACCAAGTAAAAAAAAAAAGATAGTAAAAATGTTTATTGAATACAAATTCATTTCTTTTGATTCAATATTTATATGACATCTGATTTTTATAAAGTAAGAACTCCAATTTTAAACAGATGACTTTATATATGTATTTCATTTGTATCTACTTTTTGTCCCAGTATCTATGCTTTTAAAAAAAAAATCACAGAGACTGTGGGCTAACAAATTTAGCAGTGGGCTCCTAAATTTGAAATGTCAGGAGCCCACATGGCTCGTGGAAATTTCAGTTAAGTTTAAACCCTGCACAACCAGTATAGAAATCTATGAATGATGCAATATTTGTTATAATTAATGCATACACCACAGGAGATGGATAAACAAATTTTTTAAGATGTGTAAAAATCATTGAAATCTTAAAATCAAGATTGAAATGATTTCCTGCACTTAGGATATGTTGTAATTGTAATTTTCTGCGGGCGTATCTTGCTGTGGCGTGGAACTTTCTTTATGCAAAAAGCCCTGAAGTCCTTTAAAATTATGTAAAACATCAATGTCAAAGGGTAAAAAAAAAAGCATCGCATGCTGGGAAACATCTCAATTCTTATGAGTAATTGATGTGCATGTCAAATATGAGAGTCATATATCTCTTCTCAATCAAAAATTATAAGCAAATGCAACATTTTTGAAAAGTAGGTTAAGCTTCAAGGTCAAAGGTCACAGAGTCAAAAGTCATGATTTATTTGAAAGGTCTTATGACAGGTAATAATATACATGCATTATAATATGAATACCGTAACTTTTATCTTTCAGAATGATGAATTTATACCAATTTAATTTTTGTACAAGTACGTCAAACTTTTAGGTCATGTGTAAAAAAAAAAAAAAAAAAAAAACAATGCCATTCTCACAGGTAAATAGAAATACATGTTTGATATGAATACCTTGTCTCTTCTCATTCAGTAGATATGATCGTGATGACCAAGATTAATATTTATATTGAGACCGATGGACAGTCTGAATTACAAAAGTACATATTTCTATATGAATTGGGTAAAATTGGCCCAGTGGTTCTAGAGGAGTTAAAAATGTAAAAAGTTTTCAGACAAACAGGTGGACAACACGTCACGACAGATGTTATATGATAAGGAAACCAGAAAAGCTGAGTGTTTTGAAAGGGTTAAAATATGGTTACAGTATTTGAAAAGCTGTTTTTTTTCATGCAGAGATGTGCATGACCAAGATATTCATGTTTTATATTTTCTTAAGTAATTTGTTTGTTTGTTGTGAAAACATCTCTCTCGGGAATTTTGCCCTCATATGGATCGAGACACCACCAAATAATAATGCAAGATGTGTTTGTGAAACACTGATGCCCCTGTATAGAAGCCTAAGGCAAAGTTGAAGTTTCTCAAATATATGTCATACTCGAAGGTCAAGGTCAAAGGGTTCAAATTGTAGGTATGAGAAGAAAGTTCTGTCACAAGGAATACACATGTAAAATAAGTAATCCCTAATACTTCCTGTTCCAAAGTAAATTGACGAGGTTAAATTTTTCTTTAAAGTGGTTAAAACTCTAGGGTCAAGATCAAACATATTTATACCTGTTGACAATCCACATTGAATACACATGTTAAACATGAAAGCACCTACTGATCAAAATTAAGGCCAAGTTTAAAGTTTGGTATTTTTCTTGTAAAAATGTGTAAATCCTAGGTCAAGCAATCAAGAGGTCAAAATTAATGGTACCCAAATAAAAGGTCTTGTCACAAGAAATAAACCTATGAAATGTGGAAGCCGTGTGTATAGCCCATTCCACTTAAAACGTATCAGCAAGGTTAAAGGGTTTGTTCCCATCTTGCCTAAACTGTAAAATTAAGTATTCCCATTTCGCCTTAGTAAGCTCTCAAGTGAATGAAGGTGAGGCGACCATAATTTGATTTTTAATTTTACGGATCCGCCGACTCTAAAAATTTGCATTTCAAAAAAAAAATAAAATCGGAAATTTTCAATCCGCTTTTGTCAAACCTGTGTTTATAAAAGCAAATCACAGAAACTTAGAAAAAAACACATGTGCCGAATGGTAGAAGAAGGTGAGCTGTCAACTATGATTTTATCGAGAGTCTACAAATTCTGAACCCTCCCCATTGCATGTCTCTCTCTATTTTTTTAATTGCTGTTTCTACCAATTTCGAAAAAATCCGGATTTTTTACCTTCTTCGATTTGTAAAATACTGACAAGTCAAAACAAAAATGGCTGTCATGCAGTGTTTACTGGTAGCTAATCTGCTTATTGCCACTGATAACAGGTAATAATCAAGATGTTAACTGTGCTACCAGATGTAATTGCAGTTCTAATTGCTCATTATCCTCATAAAAAGTGTTGTTTTTCAAAGACAGAGATACTAGATGTGGAAATTTCACAAAAAGGATGGTAAATAACGATATGAATTTACTTGATACTTTGCTGCAAACAAGTTTATATGCGCCTAAAACACAATAATTCCTCCATAAATAATACAGTGATCAGGAAAGACATGAACTCTACCCAAGCTGACCCAGCTATACAGTAGGATTACTTTATTATTAATTTAAAGAGGAAATGAAAGCAAGTACATGGTAACTAATAAAGAGTGACAGTCTGCAGAGGGAACACCGCGGATTACGAGATTCAGTGACTTAGCAAATCCTACATCAAGACCAGTATATAAAAACCCTTGAAACTGCAGAGCAACTTGACAGTACCTCTAGAAGACTTCTTTGAATTTAGGTAGCTAAACAGGGTAATAAAGTTTCTGAATTTCAAAATATAATTTTAGCAGATTGGAACAGGACTACAATAATGCTTTGATATCATATGTACTTAGAGTAAAAAAAAAAAAGAATGCAGGATCTAAGAATCTATCTAATTCATTCTCAATAGATTACAGATGTAATTTTTAAAAATGTTTTAAGTTTTAAGTTTGGCTAACAGGTACATCCAGTTCCTTCAATTTCAGATCTTTATTAAATCCAGGAAACAGATCTCTTGTTTCTTATAATGAGAAAAATCCATTCATCCATCAGTTGAAAGCTGGAAACTCAGAGCATCTGCAGAATTTTATTAATTCGTTTAATTGCCAAGTTAAACTTCGATATTTACCCTGAATATTATTCAAATGACGCTCAAATGAAAGTGCAAACTATACAGTGAAGAACATAATTAAATTTTTATAATTTCAAATATTACATGGTACTCATATTAAACAATGTTTGAATTAAAAGTTGTAGTTTTTATAAATAACAACATTTATACATGCAATGTATATTAATATTTAAAAAAAAAATATCTTGTAAGTTGTTTTTTGTTTTGTTTTATATTACAGTGAAATGGGACATGACTTTTTATATGTGAAAAAGGTCGTTGCTAGAATGATTTTTGTCTTTTTTTTTTTTTTTCGTCCTCCGACTTGACCTTTCTTGAAAAAAAAATCCGTAAAACTAAAAATCAAATTATGGTCGCCTGATGGTGATTTAATATATCATAATAAAGTATTTTTTTTTGTATTATACATATAATTTCATGCACACTGTTCATAAATCTCCATTAATTGTTAAATTCAGTCTAAAAATGTTTATCATTTTAATTATACCCCCCGCAAACGAAGTTTGGGGGGGGGGTAAATACGAATCACCTTGTCCGTCTGTCCGTCCGTCCGTCTGTCTGTGCAATCATGTCCGGTCCATATCTTTCTTACAGAGGGACATTAGAATGTACTACTACACAGTAAGATTGCTCATGACCTAAGAGTTTGTCATGACCTTGACCCAAGGTCATTTGGGAAAGTTCAAGGACACTGGAAGAAAAATTTCATAATTCATGTCGGGTCCATATCTTTCTTATGGATAAACTTGGTAGGTTCTCATTTTACACAAAGATTGCCCATGACCCAAGGGTGTGTCATGACCTAGACCCAATGTCATTTGAGAAAGTTCAAGGTCACTGGAAGAAAATTTTCATAAATCAATTTGATACATATCTTTTATGGATAAACTTGGTAGTAAGGGTGAAACGTTTACTAAATTTTGTAAACGTTTAAACGGATAGCAGTAATTGAAACGATTCCGTTTAAACGAGAGATATTCTATGTTGGATTTTAATGGCTACTTACTCATGAAAGTCGAATTTGATAATCAATTCTTTCACTTTAATATAAGTTTGAGTTATTTTTACAAATTTATTGTTTGTTATTGTGATTTAACCGTAAGAATTTGAGGCGCATTAAATTCATTCACTTACGACCTCGTCACCCATTTGCTTGGTTTGTTTGGCTACCGGACGTAGTAAAGATGGATCTTTTAATCATGAAAGAAGTAAAACAAGACCTGCTGACTATATTTAAACTTTTCAAAGACTTTCAAAAAATATATTCAAAATATAATTATCAAGTTTTATATTTTAAGTGTCGTAAAACATCGCTCCTATTAGCAACTCGGAAATATGAATTATGTTAGCCCATATCGGGTTTTAGATATTCTCATTCTATATGTTTCCAGTTTAGATTGTTGCTTATCAAATTGTCAAAGTCAGTGTTTCTTTTGTAAATTTTGAAATAAAACAATTTGTTTGTGGTCAACATTTTTTCTGAAGACATTGATAATGACCTTCGTGTAAACGTTTACTGAAACTGTAAACGTTTAGAGCATATAATCGAAACGTCTCCGTTTACACGTGTAATCGTTTTGCCCTTACTTGGTAGGTTCTCAATTCACACAAACATTGTCCATGACCCAAGGATGTGTCATGACCTTGAACCAAGGTCATTTGGGAAAGTTCAAGGTCACTGGAAGAAAATTTTCATAATTCCTGTCTGGTCAATATCTTTTTTATGGATAAACTTGGTATGGTTTCTATTTCACACAAAGATTGCCCATGACCCAAGGGTATGTCATGACCTTGACCCAAGGTCATTTTGGGAAATTTCAAGGTCAATGGAAGAAAAATATCATAATTCGTGTCCGGTCCATATCTTTCTTATGGATAAACTTGGTATGTTCTCATTTCACACAAAGATTGTCCATGACCCAAGGATGTGTCATGACCTTGACCCAAGGTCATTTGGGAAAGTTCAAGGTCACTGGAAGAAAATTTTCATAATTTGTGTCCGGTCCATATCTTTCTTATGGATAAACTTGGTAGGTTCTCATTTCAAACAAAGATTGCCCATGACCCAAGGGTGTGTCATGACCTTGACCCAAGGTCATTTTGGGAAATTGAAGGTCACTGGAAGAAAATAAACAATAAACTTTACTGAAGCAAATAAAGTATAAAATTTGGACCTCCTCCCTAAAACTTAAAAAACATTGACGGATTTGACCCCACTATCATTGTTTTTATTATGTTCCCGAAACAGAGTTTGGGAACATATTGTTTTTACTGTGTTTCTTCTTATTTTTTTTTTCTTATTTCTTCTCCGGACTTTTTTGTCCGCAAATGTTCTCAGAAACTGTTCATCCAACTGAGCGAAAAGCGAAAACCTTTTTAGGGTTAATAGGTGTGTAGTGTAGGTGGTCGCAGGGAAGGTCATTTTTGCGCGCATACGCATGCACGTGCAGGCGCGTGCAACACGCAAAATTTCTTATATCCTTAAAATAGCTATAACTTTTATATTTTTTGATGAAATAATGTGAAACTCATTATATAAGGATATATGAATAGCGTAGATAAAATGACACACTCAAATAAGCACGAACTTGCATGTGCGCTTCGCTCTGATTGGCTGATACAAAAAACTCAATATCTTTTCTGTTTTTTTTTTAAGAAATGCTATGAAATTTGAAATATAGGCATACTTTAGAATCTCCTACAATATGATATATAACAATTGTCATGAAAACATGCACGTGCATATGCGCTGCAATCTGATTGGCTTAAACTTTAAAGGGCTATAACTCCCTTGTTTTTTAACCAAACATGATAGAATTTAGAACATAGAGAGACATAGTTGACTCCTACAAGAAGGTTTGGTCATCATGCACCTGCGTGGACGTGTGCTTTGCTCTGATTGGCTGAAAGAATAATCTCTATATCTTTTTTGTTTTTTGACGAAATGTTTTGAAATTTAAAACATAGTCATGCATTAAGATATCCTTCAATATGATATATAATATTTTCATGAAATCACGTGCATGCACGTGCGCTGAAATCTGATTGGCTGAAATTTAAAATGGCTATAACTCCCTTACATTTCAACATAACAGGATGGGATTTAGAACATAGATAGATATAAGAAGCTCCTACAAGAAGATATAGTCATTATGCACGTGCGTGCACGTGCAGTTTGCTCTGATTGGCTGAAACAAAAATCTCAATATCTTTTTTGTTTTTTGACGAAATGTTTTAAAATTTAAACATAGTCATGCATTAAGATATCCTACAATATGATATATAATATTTTCATGAAATCACGTGCATGCATGTTCGCTGAAATCTGATTGGCTTAAACTTTGAATGGTTATATGCCCTTATTTTCCAACCAAATAGGATGGGATTTAAAATAAAGATAGACATAATGTCATATTTAATAGAGCTTAAAGGGAATATAGCACCAAAAGGGAGTTGGGGAGCGTTTGGGGAACATCTGTAAAGCCCTAGTTTCATTTGTTTTCATTTTTTTTCTCCTGTTTGTCAGGAAATTGTGGGCTGGATTTTTTTTACTGAGATGTGAACCCCCCTCCCCAGTACTGAAAAAAAATTCTGGATCTGCATCAGTATTGGCAGTAACTGAATGTCACATCGACAACGGCAGATAACTTCACTATATGAAATTTGTCTAGTGTAGCAGCGATGATCTTTGACCCTTTTTGAACTTTAACCTATAATCATTTGAATTTATTTTACCCCCACTATACTTAAACTTGTACTTACTGACTGTCATACTGGTCTCGTCAACTCCATGAAATATAATCCAATTATAACACAAAATGAATTAATCCAATACACACCAGACTGCAGCATGTGCTTATGCTATCCCATTCGGCAAACCTTCATCCATTCAGTCACCTTATTAGATGAAGTGGGAATCGACAGAGGTAGGCCGAATGGTGTTTAATCTAAAAATATGATAATGGATGATGCAACCCAATGTAATGTAGAATTTTTCCAAAAGGAGTTCACATGTTAACCATGTGAACATGTAAAGTACAAGAACAAATTTTAAATTAATTCATAACAAATGATGTTTTAACAAAACTTTTTCATATCTAAGCCTATTCTAAAAAAGGTATGTGCTGTGTGTTTGTGGTGTTGAGGGGGGGGGGGGATTTGTAAATTTTAAAAGGTCCTATTATGAGCAAAACATTTATCAAAATCTAATTTATGTCATTAATTAAATTCAAAGTGGTAATGAATTAAGCATGTAAAATACATATTATAAGAGGTTCTGAGTCATATGTCACAGGGTCTGAGAATTTTCATAGTCAATTTAACGAATATATATATGTTTGTGTAAATTTTAGAATTATTTTGACTTTTCCTTGGAAAGCCGCCCAATATGTACGAGTGTGTATTTAGAGGCAAACACTTTAGTGCGGGTATTACTGTCTCAGTATTACTGTCTCATGACAACATCTAGTATTTATATGGAATCATTCTCAGGTTGTGTAGATTCAAATTTGTTAAAATTTTGACCTCCGAGAGTAGGGCGCGGTGAAAATTGGCAATCAAAATTTTATATAGAAAACAATACTCAGGTGACCTATAAGGCCCGTGGGCCTCTTGTTGACAGATTTATGCCCCTTGGACTTGGAAGAATTCCAATTTGGGGGGACGGGGCATAAATGTTTTACAAACATCTCTTGTTAGTTAATGAGTTAATTTTTTGATAGATGCCTAAGAGAAAGTCACTCACTGGCAATAAAGAGCGCAAGAGGGATGCTATGAGGAAGAGGCAAAAGAGACTTCAGTCCTGCCCTGATCCTCCATTAGAAGAAACACTGACAGTGGATGCAGCTGCTCCTAGGTCAGAATGTGGCTCTATAGGGTTGCCACCTACTTCGCTAAAACCCTTGGCCAGGGTGCAGGCCTCTCCTAGTGAGAAAATGCACTCAGCCCCGAGGTTGTCACCTCCTCGGGGAAGTCGTCTGATTGTCCCAAAGGACAAGGTAGCATCCCCTGACTCCCCAGCGTGGGTTTGTACTCCACCGAGAGTACCTGAATCGGACATTTGGATGATGTCTGGTTCAGCAGGTCAGGCGCAGCTGATACCTCCCAAGGGGGAAGAGGTCAGCAGGGCTTTAAAAAAAGATGTAAGGCACAGAGAGGAAAACAAAGGAAATATAGAGGAAAACAAAGGAAATATAGAGGAAAATAAAGGAAATGTAGAGGAAAACAAAGGAAATATAGAGGAAAACAAAAGAAATATAGAGGAAACTAAGAAAATAATAGAGGAATCAGAGAAATTTGAAAAGATATCAGAGAAATTTGAAAAGAAATCAGAAATATGTGACGGAGAATCTAA